TTTTGAGTTCGATTTCGATTCAGAATCGAAGTTTCAAAGTCGCGGGGGAGGGGAGTCTTCGAGAGAATGAAGAAGAAAAGAAGAMGAAGACGAAAGAAGAAAAGAAAGAGAAAAATTTTAGTGCTTACCTGGCGGCGCGGCAAGGATCGCGGCAGCGGCACTTGATGACGTGGTAGGACGACGAGGACGAGGCGTGGCTGCGATGTCGTGGCGTCGATGACGTGGCACAGCGGTCAGCGGCGTTGTCGATGATGTGGCACAATGGCGGCGACGAGGAGGAGCTTCTTGCTCCGATACCAGTGTAACGAGTACGAGGTCGAGGGAGACAGGGAGAGCCGAGGGAGAGGGGAGAGAGAGAGGGAGAGAGGGAGAGCACACACACACACTCACTCACTCGACACGACACGACCGAGGGTCGGACGCAAACACAGTGGCAAGGACACAAAGTTGAAGTCTTCGATTCCCGAATGTCGAAACATGAGCAAGTCACACTGAGTACGAGTACAACAGCTGAAAACTGGTACCAAGGACTCGTCCCCTTACCGTACGGGGAACCGGTATAAGTACCGGTGACACGTACGGTACTAGGGGCATTTCTGCAAAGGCCCCGAGGGCAGAACTGAAAAATGCAGTATTTGAAAGTGGCGCCCGAATTGCAGCATGGCGCCAGTTGTCCAAAATCCTACGGTACCAAAGGAGGGGTTTGGAAAAAGGGTGCCAGGCCGAAAACGGGATGCAGCTGAAACAGCAAAAGATAGACCAGGGATCGAGCCCTGGAGGAGTCCGTAACACAACCCCTGCACAATCGACAACTCCTCATCCCAAGAGTTCTGATCAGGTACAATTAGAGCCCTGAGAAGTTGGATCACGGTCTGGTTAATTTCCTCAGCCAGCCCATTGGCTTCGGGATGTCGCCCAGACGCCATCTTGAGTTTCATGTCGTAGGTCTGGGAGGTGAAATCTTTCCAGTCTGCACTTATGAACCTGGTGTCCTGATCACTCACAAGAGTTTTTGGGGGGCCATAGTGTAGAATGTACCTTTTGTTGAACTCATTGATCACAAGGTCAGTTGGGGCGTGAGGTGGCAAGGGAATCAGATTCAGAAATTTCAAAAACCCATCATGTCCGTGAAGTCAATGGAAACAGACTCACCCGGGCCATCAGGGATAGGAAGAGGGTGCAGCAGCCCATAGGGCTTCTGCCGAGACGGCTTGATGCGCTTACAGACTTCACACTCAGCCACAAACCTTTGTGCCATTCTTTTCATTCCAGGCCACACAAACCTTTCCAACAGATTCCCGTATGTCTTCTCAACACCAAAGTGTCCACTCCGGCCGTAAGCCAAATCCAAGAAGTGGGTCATGATCGGCACATGGTTGGGCAAACACAATCGGTCATGCTTCCCGTAGCGTCAGAAAAGAAGGCCCTTACACTCATGGAAATCAGGCTGACTGGTAGGGTCAGCCCGAATCTGCTCAAGGATGGGACTGAGTTCCGGATCCTTGGCAGTATGCTCTATGAGTTCCTCCTTCAGATTTTTACGCAAGTCATAGGAACCCACAAGGCAAGTCATGTACTCAGGGTGGCGCGACAAAGCATCCGCAACTCGATTATAACAACCTTTCTTGTGCTTAATCTCAAAATCATACAAAGCAATCTCATGCAGCCAGCGGGTCAGTGTAGTCGAGGGATTGTTCTGTGTCTGAACCAATTTCAAGGTCTCGTGGTCTGAGAACACTTTGAAATGGCGACCCAACAGGTAGTGCTTCCAGTGGTCTAGTGCCTCTCTCAAGGCATAGAGTTCTCGCATGTAAGTGGAGGCAGCTACCTTGTGACTGGGCATACGATTGCTGTAAAATTCTAGCGGACGTAGGCCGTCGCCGTCATCTTGTTGCAGCACTGCACCAATCCCATACAAACTGGCATCTGTAGTCACTACGAATGTGAGTTTGGGATCTGCAATGCGGAGCACCGGATGACTCACCAAAGCCTCCTTTAGTGCTTGAAAGGCTGTCGTGCATTCCCCATCCCATGTGTAGGACACATTCTTGCTGGTCAATCTAGACAGCGGACGGGCGATGAAAAAGAATTTAGGCACAAACTTACGGTAGTACGAGGCAAGACCAAGAAAAGAACGCAACTCGCGGACATTCGCCGGTTGAGGCCAATTGCGGATGACCTCAACCTTGGTTGCCTCAAGCTCTAGGCCTGCAGCAGATAACCAGTGCCCAAGGTAGATGACGCTATCCCTCCCAAACTCAAATTTCTCCAAGTTGAGATGGAGTTGCGCTTCCTTGAGGACCTGCAACACTTCCTCAAGATGTCTCATGTGCTCCTCCATCGATTTGCTGAATATGAGTATGTCATCCAGATAAACAACAACAAACCGGTTAATCTGATGGCGGAACACTTTGTCCATGAGACTTTGAAAGGTGGTTGGTGCATTCGTGAGGCCGAAGGGCATGACAGTAAACTCGTATAGCCCATCGCAAGTTTTGAATGTGGTTTTGTGCTGGTCTGCAGGATCGACTTCAATCTGGTGCTAGCCAGACTTGAGATCGATCTTGCTGAAGACTTTGCACCCACCTGCAGCATCAAGCAGATCATCGATACGTGGCAAAGGATATGCATTATTTCTTGTGATCCGATTCAATCCGCGGTAATCAATACACATCCGCAATTTGCCTCCTTTCTTAGGGACAAAACCGGTGCACCAAACTCAGACTCACTTGGTTTGATCCATCCCTTCCCAATCATATCATCAATCTGTCGTCGCAACTCCTCCAATTCGCCTGAGCCCATTCGATAGACACAACCCTTTGGAGGAGTGTTACCTTCAATCAACTCGATCTTGTGTCGGACTGGGCGCACGGGAACTCCATGAGGTTCGGCCAAGACTTCAGTAAAATCTGTTGAGAAGGTTGCAAATTTCCGGCGGAACTTCCGGAGGGGGATCATCACTCTCAAGAGCAAGCATATCGGATGTCATAGGTGCAGCCAACACGACAGGATTAGAAGTAGAGTCATTTGGACTAGAGGTGGATTTAGTGGAGGTAGAAGTAGTTGCATCCGAGGTGGAAACAGCATGCAAAGTAGAATCATTATATACAGCAAAAATACAAGGCACATGAGCAGGCCTAACAAAGGCTATACACATTTGCTCATCAGTTTTGCGTTTGCGCCACTTTTTGCAGAATTGCATTGCATTGAGAAAGGTCACTTGGGACTCCCGTGGCTCATCCAAGAGGACTGGACGCTCGATTCCCATGGCATCTTTGACCATGAATTGTGAGTCCTTCCACGTGGTTCTTTCACATTGGGCCTGCAACCAGCCCAAGCCAATAACAGCGTCGAAGGGGCAGTGATCAAGGACATAGAAGTTCAACTCATGCGTGATTGTGCGGTCAGCGTCAAAGGTAGTGCGCACACCTTTGACTGCATGCGTAGATGTGACAACCTCTTGGTTGCCTACTTGGGTCCGACAAGGATTCTGCAAGGTCACTCGCTTCATCCCCAAGCGTGCCTTACGAAAGCCGTGCGGTGAGAAGTAGTTGGCGGTTGCACCACAATCAGCCAACGCACGGATGTAACGGCCATTAATGTAGAGTTTGAAGAAGATCAACTTCGTCCTCCCTTGCGCGCGTTCTTGCTTCATGTGAGCCCAGCGCGTCAACAGAGCATGGAAGTCAATCTCTCCCGACTCTACCCAAGGCTCCTTGTATAGGATGTGAATCTTCTCAGCCTTGGAATCAGCATCAGATGGGGTTTCAGGAGAGGTTTGTTGAGTGGGATCAGAATCCAAAGAAGGATCTGTACTTACATTTTCAACCTCTACATCTGTAGAGTGTGCTTATGATATCTCTACCCCCGTTGCTGGTTTCCCTGCTGCAATCTGAAACATTGTTGGACTAAATGTCTCGGTTTGGTACAATGCAGGCAAACCCCTTTCTTCACCCTGTGTTTCCACTCACTTTCACTGATCCGAAGATCTACCCATGGTTTTGTGGCAGGATCTTCCGGTTTGGGTGGAATCTTTGCTCCCTTGGGAAGAAGGATAGTGTTAGTGTTGTTCTTCATCGTGGTCCTCGGTCCCTTACTTTTAAAGGCAGTCTTTTTAAAGGCGTTCATAAATTCATCGTCATTTATATACTCAGACTCATGGGCTGACAAAGAGCAAGATGCCCCGCAGTCTTGCTCTTGATCGTCATCAAAAGAAGATTCTTCTACGAGGGAGGTCTTGTGCCTCCAGCTTGACTAAGTCCCGCATAAGGGTAAGACAATCTGTATATCCGCCGAGCCCGAGCCCTAGGCGATCTTTTAGAGTAGAGGGGACCGTACCTTTTATCACATCCAAGCAAGACTGCGCAGTCATCTCCAGATCCGGAGTAGCAAAGAGTTTATTGACATACTGCTGCAAGCTGTGCATGGTGCCAGTCCACTTGTTGTGCTTGAGCTTGTCAAGCTTGAGTCTTGCTTTAGCTGCAGCATGTGGATCAACATATTGTTTGATCAAGAGATCCTCAAGTGTGGTAGTAGGCGTAGCCTTCAGCCATTTGTTCATGTCTATTCTCTTATAGCCTGATTGGACAGCTTGGGTTTCCAGAAAACCCCTCACGACGGGCTCCACATTAGTCCCTAGGATAGACGACTGGGTTGATGGGGGGGTCCCCAACACATCAAAGTAGGATCGCATAGAGCTGATCCAAGACTCGATGTCGTCCTTTCCGTCATACTTGGACGGAATCCGCGTCGCCTTCCTGTCAATGTAAGCAAAGCTGCCGCTTGGCCCAGCCATTGCTGGGTCCGGACTCGGGACTGCAACAATTCTAGAATTCCCTGCACTACCATTTGCTGCTGCCGCAGCAGCAGCAGCAGCGGGGTCTGGACATGCTGCAGATCCGCTTTGGCTGTTAACCACACTTAAAGAAGAAGAAGAAGTAGAAGGAGAAGAAGTAGACATAGTCAGAGGGGCAAAACTGGACTGACACGCAGCATTGGAAGCAAGGTAGGTGAGTGGAGAGACAATCTGAGCCTGCTACGAACTAGCAAACTGTTGCAGCTGATCGCGGTGCTGCTGCACCATTTTGGCCATGTCTTCGCTCAACTCCTTGAGCTGCTTAAACACCTGTGCGAGTTGGCCAGTATGGTCCTCAGCAACCCGGACCCCTGCTAAGGCTCTGAGGAGGGGAACCGTTTTCTCTTCTACCTCCTCATCAGTCACAACGGACATGGTGCTAAGGACGGCCTCGTGAGCCTGCACCTTATCCCTTCTCTCTCTCTCTTTCTCTTCCTCCTCCCTCTTCAAGGCTTTCTCATAGAAGAACTGATATTGCGTTTTTTTTGCCTCAGGGGCAGCGTCCATCTGCAGTTTCCAATCTGCTGCACATGCCATGATGGAGAACGAGGGTGTCAGTAAGACTCTCAAGAGGGGTCCGTACTTCCTCTCAGCTTTGTGACGAACGCTCCTCTTCCCTCTCCTCACTCCCTCAAAAGCAACACTCAATAGCTTCTCTCTTCTCTCTCTCTCTCTCATTTGCGATCGTGTAGACACAGGCATTAAAGAACCCAATGGAAGAAACAGCTTGAAATCAGTCAGAAGCGAAGGGAGAACTCCTAGCCGGAGCGACAATTCATTTGGACTCGAGAGCAGTCGTCAAAACAAAAAAAAGAAGATCAGAGAGATCTGATCCAGCTACACAGTCTGGACTGACTACGTATGGGATCCTCCCAAGCCTAGCCAGCCTCAGCTCTATGAAAACAAAGCAAATCACATTCAAGATGTACAGCGAAATGCAAGAGAGAATTGAGTGGTGTCCAAGGTGCGAGTCAGGCGGCGGATCGTGCGGTAAAGTCTGATAAAACGTCCCAGCGGAGATCCCCTCCACAGCGAGTGTCCTGGTCCGAAAGCATAAAGTCCGTGTCCCAATCAGATAGAGCAAGGTAACAGACGTCAACAGATTTGGCCCGCCTTCTTGTTTGGGTCCGGTCCCACTGAGTCCCAAATGGTCCCAATGGAGTCAGAACCGGGTCCCAACCAACAAGAGTTCCACAGAGACCTACTCTGTCCCTACAGAATTGAAAAAAACGAAATTTTGCCCCAGAAAGAACTTGTAGACTACAACCGTTCAGAATGAAATAAACAAAGCACTGTAGAGAGATATCACATGGCAAACAAGATACTTCATTCATTCACTCGTCAAGTAGTAGGCAGTTCACACACCTCACACACAATCAAGACTATCGAGGATGGAAGAAGAACCCGAAGAACCCCAACAGGCAGCCAATTCCATGCACACACACATGGGCACCCTGGTGGCACGACACTTATCTGAGTGGTCGGGCTCTTGAGACGAAAAGACTCACCCCCCTCTCACATAGTCCTCCTGACCCACTTAGCATCCTCTACACTAGTGTCCTATCATCTAGGAGGGTCAACATCTACCCCAAAGTACAAAGTCGGATCCCCCGTCGATGTTGAAGATCAAAGCAGCAACTTGCAGTCCATAGGTGCAGATATGGCTGCCAACCTCAAGCTCGCCTACTTGAGGGGAGACCTAAAGTCACTCCTCGTCTTCCTTGAAGTCCAGATTCAAGTTGTACGTGCCCTTCACTGTTGCCTCTCTCAAATTGCATCACGAAGTCCAACCTTGTGTCTCGCCACCGTAAACATGCACTCAAACAACCTGGTCGGGTCTAGTGTCGACCCTACACGGCCCTGCCAGGTGGGAGCAGCTTCCCTTCACCACGCTGCCCCACTTAACCCTAACTTCCAGCCCTAACCCTAAGTGGTTAGCCCTTACCACTAGGGTTAGGGTTATGGCAGCAAAGTCGACTCTCGCCAACAAGTAGAATCTGCTCTGATACCAATGTTACGATCCTCGCCAGTTTCGAAGTCCACAATCATCAGAAAGTTCAATGTCGTCCAATTGCGAAAAGTAATGAATGAACTTGAGCCCAATGCCGTCCAATTGCAAAAGAAATGAAAGAACTTGAGAGGAGAGAGAGGGAAAGAAGAAGAAGAAGAATTAAGAAAGAAGAAAGAGATGATGTATTCCAGCATAGACCAAAGACAAAGCTCTTCTTCTTCGCTCAACAACCTCCTCCTCTCTTATTCAAACAATGAATAAACAATAATAATGTTGAACAGCTGAACCAGAATCAATGTCCGAATCCCACTTCTACCGTAGGCACAAGATGAGGTCCACCATAGCCATGGCAGCCCTTCTTCTTCCTCCATATACAGGCCGAGGCTATGGCGGACTACTGAGGCTTCAGCCTCCGGTACAAGAGACAACCCAAAGCAGCTATACCGCTGCCCCACCTCAAGGTCATCACCCAACAGCTATGCCGCTGCCCACTCAGCCGCCATGCCTGACTCTGTCYGAGCTTCCTTCATGCGGCATTACCCCCACTGGGGCGTTCYTGATGCAGCGCCTRGMAAGGAGATGAAGATGGTGTCGACCATAGCCAGTAAGTACCTCGCCACTCTCCTCCTTGGCCCCCTTCTYCCTCTTCCTCCTACYGGTAGAGCTCCACCATAGCCGASGTGGAAGCTCCYGSCTTCTTCCTCCCARCAGCGCTGTATCAGCCAGCGCTCCTCCACCTAACGCTCCAGCAGCGTGACGCCCAACTCGCACACTGAAGAATGAGGCTGGGCTCTCCGCCCTGCCTCTTGATATAGCGGCCTACTTGCCTCCTGGGCGGTGACTTCCAGGCCGCTCGGCCTCTCCAAGCAACCGGTACTTCCTCCGTTTTGGAGGGAAACATCATTGCAGACCCTGATATTACCCGTACAGGCTCTAGACTCAGACTGGTTGGACTGGTACCGGCCTAGACCTACCCTACCGCTACTGGACTCTAAAAATGCCAACTTTGTCTTTTTCTGCTCGGCCTCCAGTACCCCCTCACGCCAACTGCAGTGGGGTGCAGTATCGGCCTACCGGCCTACTGAGTGTTTTTCCGCTGCCCCAAGCGTCGCGGGTCCGCTAGCTTCGCCACTTGAGTGTTTCTCCTTACTACAACCCTCAATGCCACGATCACAGGTAAGTACCGGCCCTACGGGCCTACCAAACAAGCAAGTACCCTTGCGGGTCACACACACACTCATACCGGCAAGCACTCAAACAGGCACACAGGTCACAAGCATGCACATGCAGACAGACTTAGAAAACACAGCAGAATGCGGGAATCTCAGCAAGGCATCCATTCCATCGGCAGAACTTCATAAATCAGCAGTGTTCCCAGTCTGTGTTTTGACGGGTCATTACAGTTGCCCTTTTGCTCTTACTAATGCACCTACAACTTTCCAGCGGACGATGAATGAACGTATTCGTGAATGGCTTGATAAATTCGTTGTTATATATCTAGATGATATCTTGATTTTTAGTAAAAGTTTGAGTGAACATTGTGAGCACCTTCGACTTGTGCTAAATAAGTTGCCTGAGGCAAAGTTGAAACTGAACCCGAAGAAGTGTGAGTGGGCAAAGCGTCAGGTACTCCATTTGGGGCATGTTATAGATGGAGATGGAATTAAACCGGAAGACGCAAAAATTGCAGCTATTCAAGATTGGCCCAATCCGAGTATATTGACAGAACTACGATCGTTCCTCGGATTGGCTAACTACTACCGTACAAGGGTACCTGTTGCGGCTTCGCTCTTAAGGGATTGAGGGGGAAATGGGAGAAATGAGTCGGGGTGGTGGGTTCGGTGAGTTTTGTGGTGGTGGTCGGGGGTGTTTTTAAACTCATGGTCCAGTGGGGGGTTGTACCCTAACAGCTATGGCAATGTGTGTGCAGCACCTCCAGCTAGTTGGGGAGGTTCTGCAACAGCTGGCTTTGGAAATCGGCATGCTATGTCTACCCCTACTGCCGTCCCCCGACTCTAGACTAAAATCCAGCGGCGTACCTTGGTTAGTATGGCACGCAAGTGGCATTCATGAGGTCTTGGGTTCTCTCTCTCTCTCTCTCTCTCTCTCTCTCTCTCACTCTCTCTCTCTCTCTGTGTGTTTGTGTGTGTCTATGTGTGTTGCTCTGCTGCGCGCGCACGCGCGCTATTATTTCGTTTTTTTTTTTTTTTTTAGGATCTCCCAATGGTTAACAAGTCAGATGTCAAACTGATCAAAACAGATACTACACTTGCTCGTCATCGTCGTCGTCGTTTTGGGGGGCGGGGTAGTTAGTTAGTTTGGGGTGTCTCTCTCTCTCTCTCTCTCTCTCTCTCTCTCTCTCTCTCTCTCTCTCTCTCTCTCTCTCTCTCTCTCTCTCTCTCTCCCTCCCTCCCTCTCCCTCTTGTGAGCGCGCACGTGCGCGCGCCGTTTTTCAAATGGATCGGATACTGCACTGGATCGTCGTCGTCGTCGTCATTCTTGGGGGCGGGCTAGTTAACTTAGTTTGGGGTCTCTCTCTCTCTCTCTCTCTCTCTCTCTCTCTCTCTCTCTCTCTCTCTCTCTCTCTCCCTTTTGTGTGCGCGCACGTGCGTGCGCCGATTTTCAAAAGGGTCGCAACAGATACTACACTTGATCGTCATCGTCGTCGTCGTTTTGGGGGGCGGGGCAGTTAGTTTGTTTGGGGTGTCTGTGTGTTTGTTTGTTTCTCTCTCTCTCTCTCTCTCTCTCTCTCTCTCTCTCTCTCTCTCTCTCTCTCTCTCTCTTGTGCGCGCGCCGTTTTTCAAACGGATCGGAACAGATACTGCACTTGATCGTCATCGTCGTCGTCATTTTTGGGGGCGGGGTAGTTAAGTTAGTTTGGGGTCTCTCTCTCTCTCTCTCTCTCTCTCTCTCTCTCTGGCGCGCGCACTTCCACGTGCCATTCTTCCATAATTTTCTTTTCTTTTAAAGAACTCCCGATGGTCCACGGGTCAGATATCAAACTGATCGGAACAGATACTACGATTGATCGTCGTCGTTTT